GTCCTAGCAAGTGAGAGGCTACATGAACTAGACCAAGCTGTACACAGTGCCGCTGATGATCTTTAGGCCCAAGCGCCTTCGTAAAGATATCAGCCGTGTTGGCACCTGAGGCCAAGTGTACTACGCGAGCCTGACGTCGCTGCTGTAGCTCACGCAGGAGGAAGTACCGAAGCTGAATGTGCTTTGCTCTGCCCTCGAGTCGAGGCTCCTGACACAGGAGGGTCATGGCCCTGTTGTCAGCGAACAGGACCGGGGCAGAGCTAGGCCGCTCACCTAAGTCAGTGAGCAAGAAGGTCAGCCAGCGGAGCTCCTGTGCCGCCATGGCACCAGCGTAGATCTCAGCCTCACAGCTGGACTGCGCAACAGACGAGGAGCGGGTAGCTCTCCACGAGACGGCACCTGAGCCAAGGCTGAAGCAGTAGCCCTGGGTAGACCTGAGTGTCTCAGCGTCGTCTGCCCACGAAGCGTCTGTGTGTCCAGTAAGGACCATTGGTCTGCGTCCTCCTAGCACTAACCCCATGCCCGATGTACTAGCAAGATAACGCAGAACCCTCTTAGCGGCAGACCAGTGCTGCGGTCGGTGTCTGCCTGTGGCCACAAAGCGAGCCAGGATGCTGAGAGGGTATGGGAGATCTGGGCGAGTGCAAGTCATCAGGTACATGAGGCAACCCACCAGCTCTGCGTAGGGGCCGCTGGGCTCTACCAACTCCTCAGACACTGGAGCGGAGAGTCTGTGGTCTACAGGCAAAGGGGTGGGCTGTGCAGAGGAGAACTGAAGGCTGAACCTCTGAAGGACCTGGCGCACCAAGTGTGACTGAGTCAGGGTGATGGTGCGCGCAGCTCTGTCCCTGGAGATCTGCAAGCCAAGGTAACGGCGCAGTTCTCCAAGGTCAGTGCACGTGTGTCTCTTCAGCAGCTCTGCCTTCACGGAGGCCAGTGCATCCCTGTCAGCTGTGGCAAAGACCAGGTCGTCGACGTAAACAAGGATGTAGAACGGAGTCTGGCCAGCACGAACGAAGAGTGAAGGGTCTGCGGAAGACGGAAAGAACTGCAGGTCAGCAAGCGTAGCACGGAGAGTGTCGTGCCACTCACGGGGAGCCTGGCGCAGGCCGTAGACGGGGCGCCGCAGGAGCCACTGGGTCCCAGGAGGGAAGGTGCCAGTGAAGCCCTGAGGGCGCCGCAGGTAGACCTGCTCGTGTAGGCTGCCGTGAAGGAAGGCAGTGGAGAAGTCGAGGGAGTGAAGCTCGTAGTCACGCTGAGCAGCTAGGTGTAACATAACCCGAAGAGTAGTCATCTTCGGGGTCGGAGCGAAGGTCTGGAAGAAGTCCACCCCCTCGCGCTGACTGAAGCCTCTAGCGACATAGCGCGCCTTGAAGACAGGCGGCTCTCCAGGAGGGCGCTTCACCTTGAAGAGCCAGCGGCCATCGACTACGTTCACCCCAGGTGGGGGAACTGCGTCGACGAAGGTGCCGGTGGATCTCCAAGATGCCATCTCCTGCTCCATGGCAGCTATCCACTGCGAGGCCCAGGGTCCCGAAGTCGCCTCAGCGTACGTGCGAGAGGTCGGGATGTCAAAAGCGTCTGGGTCACCCTCAGGGACTAGCAGCATGGAACAGAGATGGGGAGCAGCCTCGGAGAGGAAAGCAAGCTCGAACTGGCGGTCCTCCTGGACGTCACTGCCAAGGGCAGGAGCACCCCCGACAGACGGAGGACAGGCAGGGTTAGAGACCAGAGCGGAGGCGTAGTCAAGGCGGCGGGTAGAGGCGAAGTCAGCGACAGCAGCGACAAGAGCGTCAAGGCACGAGGTCGGAACAGACGGGTCGGTAACGAGAGAGGCAAGCACCCGAGGAACAAGGGGACGAGCGGCACGAAGGTAGTCAGACAGCGGGGGGGGTGCAACAACAAGGGAGGACGGGGGAGGCGACGACAGAAGGGGAGGACGAGACGCGTGGAACCGAAGCAACATAGGGTGGGAGCGCAAGACAGGCGAGGCTGGGCGAGCACGGGAGGGACGGTGAGACCAGACGTGCGACGGAGGAGTCGGGTCAGGAGACAGAGGAGGGGACACAGGAGGGGAACGAGGGGGGAGACGGGCCGGGGACGAGTCCGGCGGAGGGAAGACAGGGCCGTAGACAGGAAGAGGAGGAGACGGCCGGGGAGGAACCGACGCAGGGTCGGGGGACGGAAGGCCGAGCAGGCGAAGGGCTGACACCGGCGGGGACTGCTGCTGCGACGGCACAAGCTGCTCCTCGGCTACCACCGGCACTCTCCACACCAGCACCCCCAGAGGGACCACCCCCAGGGCTACCGGGACGAGCACCCCCAGAGTCATCGAACGGGTGCTGCGACGGCGGCGGCGGCGGCGGCGGCGGCGGCGGCGGCAGCGGCGGCAGCGACGGCAGAGACGGTGGAGGGGGGGACTGGGGAGGGGACGCCAGGGGAGGGGCGGCCGGCGAGGACTGAACAAGAGGGCCACCAGAGTCAGAAGACTCCTCAACCGGGTCCACCGACGGAAGGGGGGTGACGTGGGACACACCAGAGGGGGCGGGACGGGGAGGAGGAGGAGGAGGGGCAGGTACTACTGGGGAAGGAGTGACCAGGAACAGGGGGGGGGTAACCGGGGGACCACGGTGGGGGAAGCGACGGTAGTAGGAGACGGTCTCGTCAAAGGTGATGTCACGAGAGTGATAGAAGCGGTGAGACGGCGGGTGGTAAAAGTGCCAGTCGGACGCGTCAAGGGGAAAACCGAGGAAGACGCAGGGAAGGGTGCGGGCAAGCTTGTCCGTGCCGGAGGCACGGACGTGAGCAAGGCAGCCCCAGACGTGGAACGCAGACGCGTCACCAGGAGACCCAGTCCAAAGACGAGTCGGCGAAACCTGCGGCTGCTGAGGGTGCAGCCACAAGTTAAGCTGGTGAGAAGCGTAGCGCACAGCGAACGGCCACAGAAAATGGGGTGCACCGGCATGGATCATGGAGGTGCGAGCCACCTCCATGACCAAACCGATGCGTCGCTCAGCGACCCCATTCTGCCGTGGGGAGTACGGTAGGGTGAACGTGTGGGTGATGCCCTCCGCACGACAAAAGCGACCAAGGACACCTGAGGCAAACTCGCCACCACGGTCGGAGTGAAGACGCAAGACAGGGAGACCGCGGTGGACACGCGCAGAGACAAGCCAGGGGATGAGAGCGCCAGGCACGTCGGCCTTGCGCTCCAGGGGAAAGACTGTGGTGTAACGAGTGAAGTCGTCGACAAGCACAAGGAAGTAGCGCTCTCGACGCGGCCCAGGGACGGGGGCGGGGCCCCAGACGTCCAGGTGCAGGGTCTGCAGCGGCGCGGCGGTAGGGGGAAACGAGGAGGAGTGCGGGGCACGGCGAAGCCGACCCTCAACACAAGGCGTGCAAGGTGGGGCTGGGGAGGAGGGAAACACGGGGAGGGAACCTGGGAGACCAAGGACAAGACCGTGCTGGGACATGTGACGCAGACGCGGGAGCGCAGGGTGACCTAGGCGGTGGTGCCAAAGGAGAGTCGGGTGAGTGAGGGACCGACAGGAGCAGGCAGCAGCAACCTGGGTAGACGCAGCCACCTGAGGAGGCGCCCCAGCCGGGGGGGTCACGGTGTCCAGAGTGAACAGGCCGGACACCGGGTCCCGGGGGAACGTGGACAGGGGGGCACCAGTGGCGGCCTCGGTACAGACAGCATACCGCTCGTGACCAGGGAACGTAGTGGTGACGCCAAGGTCCTGGAGGCAGCCGACACCAAGTAGGTTCCTGGAGAACGAGGGGATATGCAGACCTGTGAGAGAGCCCGAAGGAACCGCCGGACAGGGAAGGGTGGTGGAACTGCGGGCGACTACCGGACCGCCGGAGGGGTCAGCAAGAGAGACGGCAGCTGGGACAGGAAGCGGCGTCAGGGTGGTGGAGTCGCGGAAGAAACACCGAGAAGCACCAGAGTCCAAGGTGAAGGAAAGCGAAGCAGAGGCGTCTGGCAACGGAACGACGGCAGAAGCACCAAGACTACACAAAGCAGGGGATCCTACGCCTGACGCAGCAGGGGAGGCTAAGCTAGGCACACCTACACTAGGCAACAGTGAGTAATAAGCGGGAAGCACACTAGAGTCATCAGCATACATCACATGCAGAGCAGCAACAATGGCATCCATGTCCATATCAAAAATCTGAATCTTACGACTAAGCAAACTGTGCCTGTCCGGGAGGTCTGGCGACGGGCCGAAGCGCTGACGAAAGAGGTCGTCCAGGCGACGAAAACAGCGGGGAGTGGAGTGACCGAGCCTACCGCAAACGAAACCGCGGCGAGGACCGGTCTGGATCTGGTACTGACAACGCCCGCCGCCAGAGCCACCACTCGGCACACCACCACGCGCCCGGCCACCGCCAGCGCCGGGCCACCCGGGCGGGAGGACACTCGTCTGCCGCGTCTACGACGGCTGCTGCGAAGGCTGCGACTGCGGTGGCTGCTGCGGCTGCTGCAACTGCAGCGGCGGCGGCTCAGCTGGGCTGGGCAGGGTCCCCTCTGTTGTGTGATGTCATCATATGCTATCACATTCTGTCTGCCTCCCATCCCATGTTTTCAACTTGCATGTGTGGTTTGAATGTGCAAGCATTTGTGTGGTGTGTGTTCTGGAGTTTGGGAATGTGTTCTGTATTATTTTTGTTTGAGCAGGTATTTGTGATGATAGATCTTGAGAAGATCTTTCCGACGCAACAAGAATCGCTTCAATCGGAGCAAGAACGCGAAAGCTATGAAGATTCAAAGTTCATGAGCTTGCGTTACAATTGCGGCGGTTACTAAGTGAAGTTGTGGGGTGACTTTATATGGAGTTGGGACCTTTGGGGTTGGGGAAACTTGTCACTCTACTGTAACAGCTGCAAATAGGTTGGGAACAACCAAGCTAGGTTGGCAAGGGTGGCCAACTTGGATGGATTGGTTGGGAAGGGACAAAGGTCAAAGTTGAGGTTCCTATAGGGAGGGAATCTTTGTGCTTATGGGGTTTCCTTGGTTGGGGACTCTCTTGGGACCTTCCCTCTCATCCCTCTCTTCCTATCCCAACCTTTCTCTTGCTCCTTCTAATTTCTTGTGAGATTCTTGAACTTTGATTGAACTCTTGAGATTGAGTTAAGTTCTCCTCCTACAGCTTACCCCCTAGTGCGTCGAAAGCCATAGCGTCGCGAATACTTCATCAATCAACGTGATTCAAATTGGGAACGGTAGCTGAGATCAAGAGCTACAACATATCCAAGTTTCGCGACATTCCAACGGCTAGTGTTTTGTCGACGTCGTTTCTTGTGAAGACGACTTTTCTGTCCAGAATTTCGGATTTATATTTTGAGTAATTCTAGCTCCTAAGTTAACCTAGACTCCGTCCTTAATCCTAACAAGTGGTATCAGAGCCATATTAAGGACATTGAGAGGAGTCTACAGAAGTGTGAAGACCCTTCTAGACCCACCATGGCCTGTGGGTGTGCCTAAGTGGTGTTCTAAAGGTTGGATGTGTCTTCCGCTAAGGGGAAACTCTGCCGAAATTTCGTGGACGGCGATACTTGTGAAAATATCGAGGGAGCTGAGTGTGGACAGCAAAGGGGAGCTGAAATTCGTCATTTCTCAAGGAGAAGATGAATGAGAGAGGAGGAGATGCTAATGGAAGAGGAGCTGTACCTGAGAAGGCAAGTGAGCCGCCGCCATCAAAAGTTGAAGCTTTGGATGGCTCCAACTATGAGGAATGGAGCGGACGGATGAGGAGTGCCTTCAAACGCTACAAGCTACTGAAGATTGCTGTTGGGGAGGAGAAGATGCCGGAAGAAGGCGAAGCACGTGAACGGTGGATTGAGAAAAGCGCGGTGCTTTTCGACCTCATCCTTCAATCGGTCAACAAGGAGATGTTCGAGCACATCAAGGATCTTGTGGAAGCGGATGATTCGGGTCCAAGGGCGTGGAAACTACTACGTGATGTGATTCAGCCCAACACTCTCCCAATGGTGATCGTGCTCGAGAAGGAACTTGCTGCCATCTCCATGCGACCAGGGGATGATGTGAAGCCGGTCCTTGACAAGATCAAGGACACCTATGCAACGATGGCAGCAGCGGGCAGCAGTGTATCTCAGCTGCAGCAGTGCACCAAGATCATCTCGGTGTTGGACAACTCTTGGGACAACCTCATCCCCACCCTCAACTCTCAGCAAGATCAATGGACACCTGAGTGGCTAAGGCACCAGATTCTGCAGGAGGACTTCCGCAGACGCCATGTGGGAGGCGGTGCTGCCACTAAGACTGCTGAGGGGTATGGAGCTGCAGGGCGCGGCAGAGGAAGAGGGGGTTGGAGAGGCCGAGGCCGTGGGAGAAGCTTTGGCAGAGGTAGAGGCCGAGGTGACTATAATGAGGGGCATGGGAGCTCCAGTGGCAGGGGGAGTACCAGAATGGAGGGCACCTGCTGGTACTGCAAGAAGGTCGGGCATCCTTGGTTCAAGTGCTTCAGCAGGCCGGAGGGATGGGCACCTCCAGGCATGAAGCCGCCAAGTGGTGAACGCGCACAAGGTGGCGCTGTGCAAGGCTCAGGTGCACAAGGTGAAGGTGCACAAGGTAACGCCTATCCTGGGATGTATCTCATGGTTGAGGATGTGCATGGGCATGAGGGTGATGTGGGATCTGTGGGAAAGGTTGTGATGCACCCTCTCACGCACCGGGTGATTGATTCGGGTTGCACCAGTCACATGACTCCACGGGCAGATTTGCTTGATGAGGTAAAACCCCCTGGGAAGATCAAGTATGTGGCAGCAGCGTCAGGTGCTTTGCTCCCTGTGATTGGCGTTGGGAATGCCAAGGTTAAGGGAGCTAATGGGGAGCTTGTGGGGCTTGGGAATGTTCTGCTGGTTGAAGGCTTGTCTGCTAACCTTCTCTCTGTGCGACGACTGCAGAAGAGTAAGGCCGAAGTGACCTTTGGACCAACCAGCTGCCGTGCTAAGCTTGGGAAGAAGGTGCTGTGGAGTCTGGAAGAGGAGACCAGCTGCATCAAGGACCTGTGGCAGCTGCCCATCATCCCATGGAATGGGAAGACTCCAACAGCAGCAACGGCAGCAGCGGCAAAGGCAACAGCAGGAGGAGATGCAACTGCACCAATTGATGGGGTCCTAGAAGCAGTCAAGAAAGTGCAGCAGCAGCAGACACATGGTGAGGTGCTTGCTGGTGTGGATGCGAGTGCGGCATGGGCTAAGGCTTCAATAAGGAGTGGATCCCATATACCAAGTGGTATGGGAGTGCTCCAGCTGTGAATATGCTGAGGGCATTTGGGTGCATGGTAGTGTTTCATGTGCCTAAGGAGAAAAGAGGGAAGTTGGAGGCTTCTGGAAGATGGGGTGTGCACTTGGGGATTGCAAAGGATCACAAGGGATGGCTTCTATGGGACTTGACCATCCAGAAGCTGACAGTGTCAAGGGATGTGAAGTTTCTTGAGTCCCTGTACTATAAGGAATGGAAGCAGCAGCAACAGAAGCTTCCATCTACACCACTCATTGTGGAGGCAGATGAGTTGCAGCAGCCTTCAAGGCAGGTGGAGGTTGCAGTGTCTGAGGAGGAGATATCTGGGGTGACTGAAGAAGGGGGAGCAGCTGAAGTGGAGCAGCAACAGCAACATGAGTCTCCACCTCGAGTTCCACAGCCGCCTGAGCGACCTAGGAGGGATGTGCGCCCTCCTGTGAGGCTGACCTATGGGGGAAGAGGCAAGCCAAATGTGGTGCAGGCTGGGAGTGTGGTTGAGCAGATTGAGGAAGATGAGATCGCTCACTGCTACTGGGCACCAATCCCTGAGCCCAAGACTCGAGAGGAGGCCTTGAATGGACCAAATGGGGAGAAGTGGAAGGCGAGTGAGGATGAGGAGTTCGGGTCCCTGATTGAAAACGAGACATGGGACCTGTGTGACTTGCCTCCTGGGAAGAAGGCAATCACTTCCAAGATGATCTACAGGCACAAGTATGGACCTGAAGGGGAGCTGACCCGCTACAAGTCTAGGCTTGTGGCAAGGGGGTTTCAGCAGACAAAAGGGAAGGACTATGATGAGGTGTTTGCTCCTGTGGGGAAAGGAACAACACTGAGGGTGCTGTTGGCGATAGCTGCACTCCTGGGATGGAAGATACGGCAGATGGACATTGTGACTGCCTTTCTGAATGGGATCATTCTGGAGGAGGTGTACATGAAGCAGCCAGAGGGGCTGGATGATGGGAGCGGCAGGGTCTGCAGGCTGAAGAAGGCCATCTATGGCCTTAAGCAGGCGCCTCGTGCATGGTATCACAAGTTGGAGGAGGCGCTGTTGGCTGGGGGTTTCAAGAAGAGTGAGTGTGACCCCAGCCTGTTCCTGCTGCAGGAGAAGGATGAAATCCTCATGCTCTTGGTGTACGTGGATGATATCCTTCTCTTTTCTGCATCAACTGCTTTGCTGGACAGCGCAGAGCAGATGCTAGAGATGCAGTTCAAGTGTTCCAAGATGGGTGAGGTGAAGTACTACTTGGGGATGCATGTGGAGAGAGATGTGGAGAAGGGTGTGCTGAGGTTGCACCAGAGGAAGTACTGTGAGGGGCTGGCTGAGAAGTATGGGCTGCAAGATGGGGGAAAGCCAGCAACACCACTACCTTCAGGGTTTACTGTGGAGCCATGTGCTGATGAGGAGGTAGTGGGTGAGAGTGACAGGAAGCTGTTTCATTCGATGGTTGGGTCGCTGAATTATGCTGCAAATCATACACGGCCTGACATTGCATTTTCTACATCACGGTTGGCTAGTGTGGTCTCACGCCCTAGTCATGAGCAGCTGGAAGCGGCCAAGAGGTTGGTCCGCTATGTGAGTGCTACGGCATCAGTGGGATTGGAGTACAGTGGAGTGAGGCAGCGGTTGCAGAGAGGTGCTGCAGATGTGAAGAGTGGAGAGATGCTCTTGAGTTGCTATACTGACGCTAGCTTCAACTCAGTGAAAGCGGATGGCACCAGCATTGGGGGATATGTGTGCTTGCTAGGAGGTGGTGCTGTGAGCTGGCGCAGCAAGAAGCAGAATGAGGTGGGATTGTCCTCATGTGAGACTGAGTACATGGCCTTACACCATGGGGCCAAGGAAGTGGTGTGGCTGAGGCGCTTGTTGGAGGAGTTGGGAGTTGGTCAGGAGAAGCCGACAGTTGTGTTTTGTGACAATGAGTCCGCTGTGAAGCTCGCCAAGAATGCTTGTCTGCATGGGCTGACAAAACACATAAGGCCTAAGTGGCATTGGGTGAGGAGACTCCTTGATAAGGAGGTGCGGCTGGAGATAGTGAAGACCCATCAGCAGGCAGCAGATATTTTCACCAAGCGTCTGGCGGAGGCGGATCATTGGAAGGGCATGAAGCTTGCTGGGATGAGTGTGCATTGAGTATGCATGCTTGAGATGTGGTATGGTGGATGATGGTTGGCAGCCAGAGGGGGAGATTGTTGTGTGATGTCATCATATGCTATCACATTCTGTCTGCCTCCCATCCCATGTTTTCAACTTGCATGTGTGGTTTGAATGTGCAAGCATTTGTGTGGTGTGTGTTCTGGAGTTTGGGAATGTGTTCTGTATTATTTTTGTTTGAGCAGGTATTTGTGATGATAGATCTTGAGAAGATCTTTCCGACGCAACAAGAATCGCTTCAATCGGAGCAAGAACGCGAAAGCTATGAAGATTCAAAGTTCATGAGCTTGCGTTACAATTGCGGCGGTTACTAAGTGAAGTTGTGGGGTGACTTTATATGGAGTTGGGACCTTTGGGGTTGGGGAAACTTGTCACTCTACTGTAACAGCTGCAAATAGGTTGGGAACAACCAAGCTAGGTTGGCAAGGGTGGCCAACTTGGATGGATTGGTTGGGAAGGGACAAAGGTCAAAGTTGAGGTTCCTATAGGGAGGGAATCTTTGTGCTTATGGGGTTTCCTTGGTTGGGGACTCTCTTGGGACCTTCCCTCTCATCCCTCTCTTCCTATCCCAACCTTTCTCTTGCTCCTTCTAATTTCTTGTGAGATTCTTGAACTTTGATTGAACTCTTGAGATTGAGTTAAGTTCTCCTCCTACAGCTTACCCCCTAGTGCGTCGAAAGCCATAGCGTCGCGAATACTTCATCAATCAACGTGATTCAAATTGGGAACGGTAGCTGAGATCAAGAGCTACAACATATCCAAGTTTCGCGACATTCCAACGGCTAGTGTTTTGTCGACGTCGTTTCTTGTGAAGACGACTTTTCTGTCCAGAATTTCGGATTTATATTTTGAGTAATTCTAGCTCCTAAGTTCACCTAGACTCTGTCCTTAATTCTAACACCCTCGTCCGCTCCAGCACCAGACGACCCGACCCCACCACTACCCCCTCCCGCACCCCCGCCGCCGCCGCCGCCGCGCCCAACCTTGGGGCATCGGCCCTTCCCCGAACGAAACTGCGCTGCAGCAGCAGTCTCAGCCACTGCGGCAGAGCCGTCGGAGAAGGTACACTGGGCGGGGGCACAACCCTGAAAGATAGGGACCGGCACGACACCGCTCGCCTGGGCGATGGAGCGGTGGCGGGTCTCTATCACAGTCAGGGTGTCTACAAAGTCAGTGAGGGTGAGGTCTGCGGGGTGAATGCTAAGGAAGCGGTCGCGGGCGACAGCAAGGCGGTCAGGGAGGCGGGTGGCAAGCAGGTAGAGGGTAGAGGTAATGGGCGGCTGGTGGGCTCTAAGCTGTGCATCAGTGCAGGCTGCACGCCAAGTCTCATCTATCGAGCGCAGGTGGGCAGCGAGGTCAGGGACAGTGGGGAAAGATGCAAGGTCAGGAAAGAGCATCGGGAGGATCAGGCGACCCACTGAGGCAGCCGGAGGGGTGGAATAGCACCGGATGACAGCATCTAAGTATGCCTGAGCAGTGGTGAGAGACCTAAAGCGAGGGCGCTCGGACGGGGGAAGGGCGTTGCTGATGGCAAGCTGGGCGACAGCATCGCGAGAAAGCCAGACAGAGCGCGCACGGGCAGTGGCAGCAGTGGACTCGCGCTCAGTGGGTGTGGAGTCAGCGGGCAGAATAGCAGGGGGGTCTGGGCAGGGGAGCGTACCGTCAAGGTGTGCGGAGAGCGGTTCACCATCCTGCCGCTGGCCAGTGAGTTGGCGACGGAGGTCGGCAAGCCACGCCTCGAACTCCAGAGGCTGGCCTTCAGCGTCGAAGCGAATCTCCGCCGCCATCAGGAACAGTGCAGTGCGGTGCAGGGCAGTGCAGCAAGGTGGAGTGCGGTGCCGTGCGGTACAGTGCGATGCAGTGCGGTGTAGGGCGGTGCAGTGCGGTGCCAGACAGTACAGGGTGGTGCGGGGCGGTGCAGTGCGGGTTTAGTACGGTGGAGGGCAGTGCAGGGCGGGGGGGGGGGGGGGGGGGGGGGGGGAAACCGTACCAGTGAGGAGGACCGGGGCCGGGGCAGGGACGAGCGCAGGGGCCGGGCCGGTGCAACGGGGCCGGGCGGGCGCGACGGGGCCGGGCGGGCGCGACGGGGCCGGGCTGGTGCGACGGGGCCGGGCAGGTGAGTCGGGGCCGGGCTGGTGCGACGGTGCCGGGCCGGTGCGACGGGGCCGGGCGAGCAGGATGGTGGCCCAGGAGGGGCGCACCGGGGCTGGGCGGGCGCGACGGGGCCGGACGGGTGCGACGGGGCCGGGCGGCTGCGACGAGGCCGGGCAGGGGGCGACGGGGCCGGGCGGGTGCAACGGGGCCGGGCGGGCGTGATGGGGCCGGGCTGGTGCGACGGGGCCGGGTTGGTGCGACGGGGCCGGGCTGGGGTGACGGGGCCGGGCGAGCGCGACGGGGCCTGAAGGCGTGACGGGGCCCAGGAGGGGGGGGGGGCTCGACGTGGCCCAGGAGGGGCGCTACGGGGCCCAGGAGGGGCACGACGGGGGCCCAGGAGGGGCGCTACAGGGGCCCAGGAGGGGCGCGACGGGGCCCAGGAGGGGCGCTACGAAGCCCAGGAGGGGCGCGACGAGGCCCAGGAGGGGCGCTACGGGGCCTAGGAGGGGCGCGACGGGGCCTGGGAGGGGCGCGACGGGGCCCAGGAGGGGCGCTACAGGGCCCAGGGAGGGCGCGACGGGGCCCAGGAGGGGCGCTACGGGGCCCAGGAGGGGCGCGACGGGGCCCAGGAGGGGCGCTACGGAGCCCAGGAGGGGCGCGACGGGGCCTGGGAGGGGCGCGACGGGGCCCAGGAGGGGCGCTACAAGGCCCAGGGAGGGCGCGACGGGGCCCAGGAGGGGCGCTACTGGGCCCAAGATGGGGCGCGACGGGGCTAGGGGGGGTCGCGATGGGGCTAGGGGCTAGAGGGGTGAGCGGAAGCGGTAGGTGGGGGGGGATCCTACCTACGCGTGATACCATATCAAAATTGAGAAGTGAATGATAGATAGAGTGAGAGTACACACATATATACCTACGTGTTGTACTCTCTAAGAGGCGACCCTATACAGTCTATACAAACATGACAAATACACATGTTTGACACTTCCTTAGTCGCAGTACAGAGGGCGATATATTATGCTTCAGCCGAATATAGTGCGATTAGTTCCTGTTTGCTTGACAGCCAGGAGATAGTCCCGATAGGTTCTAGTCGGTAGATGTAGCCCGTTCTCGATCGTCGATTTTCCCTGTCCCCCGCGTGGTCGGCGTCGACGTATCCGAGTAGTTGTACGAATGGTGTTGTTACTTTGCTGTAGGTAAGTCCGGTCGTCGGCGTAGAGACGAAGTAGAGTAGTGCCCGGTTTAGTTCTTCGAGATCTTCTTGTTCCGGCTGCTTCAGATGCGTCGCCAGCTGGCTTGCGCTGTAGGATAGGTCAGGTCGGCAGGTTACTGCTGCGAATAGTAGGCAGCCGAGCTTCTGCTGATACTCCCGGATTTGCTTCGCGGGGAGTTTTGCGGAGGTGTCGTTGTTGTTCCCGTAGCGGTAGGGAGTTGCGACTGTAGTTGGTGTTAGTCCGGACTTCTTTGCGACAACGCCTGCGTACTTTCCAGCGTATAGGTAGAACGCCGAGTTGTCTTCGACGACATTCAGACCCAGGTACTGGGTCACTGTGTCGGACACCGTGAGTGTCAAGTCCCCTTTCAGCTCCCCTTCGAACCAGGTGGCGATGTCGGTAGTGGAACCGATGTAGAGCAGGTCGTTGACGTAAACGATGAGTAGGATATACTCTCTTCCCTTCTGCAGTCGGTACATGCCTTGGTCATGTGGCAGCTGTAGGAATCCGATTCTGACGAGGCGACCGTGAAGATGCTGCTGCCAGAGCCGCGGGGCTTGCTTGATCCCGTAAAGGGATTTTATCAGCTGGCATACTTTTGTGGGGTCGTCGATGAATCCGTGGGGCTGCTCGACGAAGATTTCGGCGTCCACAGGTGCGTACAGGAAGGCATTTGTGACGTCAATCTGACGCAGTGGTAGTTTCTTTGTGGCCGCAACGGCGAGTATGATGCGCAAGGAGGTGTGACGGGAGACTGGGGCGAATGTTTCTGTGTAGTCGGTTCCGTATCGTTGATCAAATCCTCGTACGACCCAGCGAGCCTTGAATCGTTCGATGGAGCCGTCCGCATTGGTCTTGATGCGGTACACCCATTTTCCCGAGAGAACGTTCTTCCCGTTGACGTTCGTTGCAGGTACCAGCTTCCATGTGTTTCGGTCTTGCAGAGCTTTCAATTCCTTTTCCATTGCCTCCTTCCATTTCGCCTTACGTTCCCCCCCTAGATCCTGCGACAGTGTCGTTGGCTCGCGCGGAGATGGCGGCGGCGGGTGCTGGATGGAGACCCATAAGCCGAGGATTTGCAGTCCCGTGGGTGTGTGTCGAGGGGAATTTTCATTCCCGGAATAGGCTGCTTCGTCACCATCTTCTGGATCACGTAAGAAGTTGGGGCCGATGCGTTCTGAGATATTCGTGTCGACCGGGTGAGGTGTAGCGTAACCTTGGTCAGCGAAGTGGTAGAGGGTGTCGAGGTTGTTGATATTGAGAGGATTGTCTTCGTCGAGTGGAACAGGTACGGAACAGAAAGGGAGTGGTTCGGCAGCTTCTGAGGCTCCAGGTACGTCTTCTTCTGCTGCGTCAGCCTCGGCAGCACGGTCGGCGAAGGAACAAAGGCCCGCGAGGCCGTCGGTGGGGTCGTGTGTATTGGCAATGTTGTCCAGGTAATGCTGCAGCGTCAGTCGCTCGTAGAAGATAACATCACGTGATGCCACCGTATTTTTGTCTTGTATGTCGAGGATTTTCCATGCGTGAAAATGTTTGGCGATGCCGAGGTGTAGTCCCCACCGTGCTCATTGATTGAAGCGTCCTGCTCGGGCTGTGTGGGGTCTGTACTGTACCATGCAGCCGAAAACTCGAAGTAATTTTGTGCTGCCCCTTTTTCGTGTCCACAGCAGGTGCGGTGATGCGTTGTTGGGAAGCGATGACGATGACAACAGATTGTGCAGGTGGACTGCATGTGTCATCGCGTCTGGCCACAGTGTGTTGGGCAGTCTCATCCCCAGGAGCAGCTTTCGCATCGTCGTCTGCAAGGTCCGGTTCATTCGTTCTGCGACCCCCTGCTGCTGGTGAGCGTAGGGCAGGGACACCAAGCGTCTGATTCCTCTTTCCGCCAAGTAGGTCCTGAAGCGTTGTGACTGGTATTCGAGTGCGCCGTCTGACTGGAAGCTTTTGAGCTTCGTTCCTGATTCTCGTTCAGTGATGGGAAGCCACGTTTTGAAGGCTTCGAAGGCTTGGTCTCTCGTCTTGAGGTTGTAGTGCCAAACATATCTTGTTGCTGCATCGATGAACGTTATGACATTGTTGAAGTCGGATTCAGTGTCGTCTCGAGGCATGTTTAAGATGTCGCAGTAAACATTTTCCATCGGTGCGTATGCAGGTGCACTTGGATTGTGATGTGACGGAAAAGGTTGGTGTTGAAGATCTGCTTCGGAGCATGTGAAGCACCGTGCGCGAGGTCGTTGAAGTTCCTGTCCGCTTGTTGTAAGGAGAGCGTTTCGTTCTAACACTTCGGCTTGGATGGTTTGTAGTACCGTGCTATTTGCAGGATGCCCA